CAGGCTCCAGGCCCAGCATGGCTCATCTCACAGCCCTGAAATCATGGCCTGAGTCAAAATCAAGAGTTGATTCTCAACCAACTGAGCCACCCAGGTGCCCCCCTGCTTGATAATATTTTTAATCATAAGTGTACATAGTTATAAAGGATGTATTGTAAATATTGATACCTTTCTTTTTTTTTTAAGTGTTCTTAAATGAATGCAGTGAAGCCTAAATATCATAGCAATTTGATAATAATGTTATCTATTTTAAAAATAAATGAGAACTCTTACTGACAATGTTGAATTTTACCCGAGCCCTGTGCTCCTGGAAAAAAGCAATGGTTAAGAAATTCTCGAATCCGGGCACCTGGGTGGCTCAGTCCTTAGGTGTCTGCCTTCTTCAGGTCATGGTCCTGGGCTCCCTGCTCGGCAGCGGGAAGGCTGCTTCTCCCTCTCCCACTCCCCCTGCTTGTGTTCCCTCTCTCGTTGTGTCTCTCTCTGTCAAATAAGTAAAATCTTAAAGAAAAAAAAATTATTCAAAGAAACAGCCTGTCCCATTTGACTGAGATAAGACTCCTGGCTTCCCCTTAGTTTACCTCTAATTAGGCATGGCGCAGACACTCCAAATGCCCATTCCTTGATTCCTCAGTGGTTAGCTGAACTGCTGGGCACACTCATCAATCGGAACAAAATGCCTGTTAACCAAACTTTGGCTAAGTTTCTATTCTTCCTCTAGGTTCTTCAACTATGGCCCACTCTCAGTCAGAGCCAGTTTACCATTCCTCCTTAATGATCCCTCCAGAGAACAGGCCTCAGGGGAAAACAATCTCCCAACTGCTCTAGGACCTACCATCTGGATATTGGATTAGATCACTCCTGTTCATCCCTCCTCCCCATCCCCATTCTTTCTAGCCTTGTTTACTCCTCCCTATAAAAGAAAACCTTTTTTGCCTAACCTAGCAGAGCCCTCCCCCTATGACTGTAGTTCTCGCCTCCCCCCACCCTGCCCCCAATAATCCTTTCAAATAACGTCTCTCCTTACTAAATCCGTATTTGTTTTTCATTTACCTTATATGCAACGTTCTTTTTCCCTCTTGAACTTCTATTTCCATTCAGCTGCTATGGAGTTAATCCCAGCCATAATATATTTTCATGCTTGGCAGTATTTTCTGGGACAGCCAATCATACCTTTCTGTCACAAAATTATGTACATAAATTTGATCTCGTCAACTCTAAAAAAGTGTTCTGTGACCCACAGAGTTCTAGGTGTTCATTTTTCCCTTCTAAATTAAGATATTGTTGCAAGCGTTTTCAGTATAAGCGATCAAATAGCAAATACATAGCATTTCGTTACAGGTGAGATCCTCTTTAAACATAAAAAGTAAGTTTTCATCAGAAGTGCAATTGAAAATATGTCTCTTAAGGAGGTAGGTTGAGCCAGTTGTTTTTCCAGTAAGTTTGTGGATCCAGGGATGGATATTAATTTTTCCAAGAATGAGACAGAGTTTGAGCCTTTTGTAAGCCCTGATATTGTTCATATAAAAAGAGATAGAAGTGGAAGGAGCTTTATTCTGTCAGTGTCTCTCAGTTCTTTTAATTCCTGATAATTACCTATTCTCAAAAAAATATATTTTAAATGACCTATTAGCTGACAACATGATTAAATCCTCCTTGGATCACAGGGAAAGTAAATCAGAAACTATCTGATTTGCCCACTCCTCAGCAATAACCCATATTTAGGAGTGGGTTTCTTACCCACTCCTTGAGAACTGCCTTATTGTTTTTCCTCCCTGGAGACTATTATTTCCCAGGGTAAAGCAGCAGAGCAAGATTCAGCATGAGTGTGCATGAGACTTTCCTTTGTAAAGCTGGAAACTCATTATAAAAGGGGAGGTTGTTATAAAAGGGGAGCTCATTATAAAAGGGGAGAAGGCGGCTGAACCTCAAGGACCCCAGGCTTGTGCTCAGGTCCAGCCCCATGGGAGTAGAGAATCTGGATATTGAGTCCCTGAAAACCCTCCGTGCCCCCAGAGTCATAGCTCTCACAAAATGTCCATGTCTGAAGACCTTCCATCCTCTTCCCTACCACTCTCTGTCCTATCGCTGTTGCCTCCTAAGAAGCTCTGGAATCTACCAAGCTCTTCATCCTCTCTACCACGCTGGCCCCCAGGATCTTATCTTGCCTGAATGTCCACAATCATCCCTAAACCCTTTCTCCAGACCTAATCCATTTCTCCCTGCACTGCAGCCAGAGGGAGCTTCCCCAAATGCAAATGAACCAGCTCTGGATTAAACTCCTCCTAGCTCCCCAAAGCCATCAGAAGTCTGAGTAGAAGGACTTCATCTCTCTAGTGGCCTTTTGTCCTGCTTCCTTCAAATCTATATTGCAGTCGCAAGTAGCAGATTCCTGGACACAGGTATCCCTGGCCTTCTGGGTACCTTAGCAATGCCCTCTGCTTGCAAGAGGGAGCTAGGGAGGAATCAGACTGCTTTGGTAAGGAAGGGTCTTTGTTTGGACCTTGGCTGTTTCCTCTTAATTTCTTTTAATGTCAGTTTCCTTAACTGTAAAGCAGAAACAACAATAGTACATATTGCATGGGGTTCTTGTGCAGATTATATATGTATGTTGCCTGGCACACAGTAGTGCTCACATAATAAATGTGAACTGTTTATTATTGTTCTTGTTATTACTCACGTCGCAGTGAATTATCTATTACCGGGCGAGACCTTGAGCAACTGGAGATTGAAGGATTGTGCTTCTGTGTATCCCAGGGCTGAGCCCACAGTAGAAACTTAATACTTAGGAAGAAAGTATTGCAAAGGGATAAATGAAAGACTAGCGCCGAAGGAGCAAACCTGACTTTAAAAATCTTTCTTCGGTGCCCCTCATGTCTATTATTTCACTGAATCCCCATGACCTAGAGGTAGGGGAGGTAGAGGCTATTAATTCCCATTCTGCAAATGCGGGTGTGCCTTCTGTAAGCCGTTCTGCGTTTAGTGGCACGCAGCTCGGAGGAGGCCACATCCCGACCCAGGCAGCGGGGCGGATTGGGGCTGGGGGACACACATGGGAACGGGACCGGAGACACGCTCCGCTCGGGTTGGTTTACGGTTTCTTGCGGGACGACCAGGCTCCCGGCACAAGCCACACCCCTTTAGGAATCCCCGCCCCCTCCGCTGCCCTGTACCTATCCGCCGCGAGCCAGACTCCCGGCCAATCAGAAGAAGCGTTGGGCGGGCACTGCGGTTCGGTGAGCCAATGGGCAGGCAGCCGGAGCGGGGCTTGCCCGGGCAGGTGGGAGCTGCGGGCTGCTTGGACACCACGTGCGGGCCGGAGGACACGCGCCGCGCTTCAGGTGATCTCGGGGACCCTGCTTGCGTTGGGGCGCTCGGGCGGGCTGGCGCGGCGTGTCCCCGACCCCGGGGTCCCGCGCGCGGTGTCCGCCCCCGGCCTGCGGTGAGGGACGGCAGGGGCCCGGCCGAGCGGCTCTCGGGGCCCGCGGGTGTGCAGGCCCGCGCGCCGCCTGTGCCGCGTCCCCGCCCTGCTCGGGGGTCTGGGGCCTGCGGGGGGCGGCGCCGGGCGCTGGGGCGCTGGGGCTCCGTCTGGCGGGCTCGGCCCCGCCGCTGCGGCCAGCGAGTGACGACCGCCCGAGTCCCTCCCGGGCTGAGGCCCGGCCTCCCCCGCGGCGCTCCTCGGGGAACGCGGGCGGCCGCGGGAGATCGTGCGGGGCTCCCGGCGTCTCCTTGCCTTGCCCAGAACTTTGAGTAGCGCGGGGGGATCTCAGCGAGCCCGGTTTTCTCAAATTCGGGCGCTGATTAGTACCACGGCTCGGGGATGGGGTCGCGCGCTCTGCAAAATACAGCTTCTCAGATCCCGTTCCCCAAAATGGCAGTTAGGACGGCGTGGGCGGTGGGGGGGGGTAGGCCTGAGGATCGGCGTTTTAAACAGACGTTCTAACTGCTTTGGCGGAAGCCCCAAACCTAGTTCCACCCTCGGTTTTAGTAAACCCTCGTTTTGTGGTCAGGGGAGGGAGACTTGGTCCAGGCCATCTAGCTTTTAGTGCCAGGGCACCAAGGAGCGGGCCTACAACCGCGTGCCGCCTTCCCGATCGGCCAGCAGGTCGGTAGCCCTGCCACCGCGGGCGACTGTGACTTCGTGGTGCCCTTGGGGCCTTTGCTCTGAGGACTCTGCTGCTGGGGTCCTTGCCTTAGGCCACAAGCCCCGCGCCGAAGGCCCGGTGGCTGCTGATCCCCAAGTTCCTGGCTGGAGGGAGATTTGAGTGTGTCCTTACCCGAACTGTTGTGTTTTTTGAGGCAAACTTCCCTCCGACCTCGCTGAGCTCCCACTTGGGGCGCAGGATGGGCGGGGCATGTCCTAGATCATTAATTGTTGGTTCTGACGTGTCAGCAGGGTCAGGGCCTGTAGAAGAGGACTTGTTTTCATCCCTCGAAACACAAGGCCACTTTTTCTCAGGGAACTGAATTTCTGGCTTCTTTGAAACCTTGCCAGCGGGGTCAGGGAGGCCACCAACCCTGCTCCCGGGCTCAGCTCCTGACCTGCAGAGCCCAGATCCCTCTCAAAGAAGGGAAGGGGCCCTGTTCTCTCCATTGCTGGGCTGGGGCAAATTGAGGTTCTGTATTGGTCAGCTCTAATATGTGACCTGTCGAGATGAGGGTGTCGATTATAGTTACATGCACTTTTAAAAGGGAGAAGGCTTCTTGGGGAGTGGATGAGCAAGCCAGGGGGAAGATGAGTCAGGATGGGTCACTGTGCCTCGCCCTGGCGTCACCCAAGTAGCACTCCTCCCCACGCCTCTTCATCTCTGCCACTGCTGTTCAGATTCTTCTCCAGAGCTCTTCCTATAAGGCAGTGGGGATCCTGTTCCCCATCAATCCCTGGATTACACCCAAACTTTCACCCCCCTCCAGAAACAGTGGTCTCTCACTGTTCCCTCCACCCTCTCTTCTCCCCCACGACCTCCTTTTCAGATGTTCCACCAGCCTCCTTGCCCTCTCACAGTGCAGGTGCTTTGCCTCCTGGACTTCGGGTCTGCATTTTCTCTGGATGCCCTTCCCTTTCTGTGCTCCTGGCAGACCTTCCTGAAACCCCTTCAGCATGTCCCTCCACTGCCACCCTTCACTAACCCGGCGTTTCTGTCTGTCCAGTACTCGGACAGGTGAGTCTGTCCTTCGTTCACTGCTCCCATCCTTAGCACACCCTGGTGAGAGTCTGACGGTCTCCTTGCCACATTTCCCTGTCACCTCCAGCTCTGTCTTACCCACCGTCTGGCAGGTAGCAGGCCCGGCTTCAGCTCCCTTCACACACTTCTGGAGAGGACCTGGAGAGGACCTGCCCCATGCCAGGTCCGGGGCTGGCTGTTGGGGGAGGGACAAAGACACACACGTCTCTATCCCTGCCTTCAGGGCGCTTTGAGGTAGACGCTATGTAACTGTTGTCTTAAAGTGTGGTAAATTCTATGGTTGTGCTGTCAGGCATGGAGGGGTGAATTTCTTTGCTCCCCAGCTAGACTGTAAATGTCTGGGGTTAGGAAGTCAGTGACTTCCCTCAGTGCTCTGGGATTCCCTCAGTTGATCAGCAGACACCAGTCTGGGGATACCAGCTTAGGGGCTTAGGGTAGGACCACCAGGGTGTGTGGTGGCCTGCCCAGAGTGGGGACAGAAGGTTAAGTGGTAAAAAGGGAAGAGGGACAGTTCCTCCAGCCATGTCCCACCTTGTACTTTGCTCCCCAGTGGCATCAGGCTACTCGTGGGCCCCTCTTCCTCAGCCCTGGGTTCCTTCTCTTTCCGGCTTTTGCCCCTCACATGGCCACCAGTTCATCTCCCTGTCAGCTGGTGGGTTACTGTTTATTCTTCACCGAGATTTAATCTCTTCCAGCAAGCCTCCCAGAATCATCCTCCAGCCTGTTCTGCTTCCCTAGCCCTTCTGACCCAGCCCTGCACACGCCTTGTACTTTGTTTCTGTCTCTGCGGCGAGGCTAAGCTTCTCGGAGTCCAGGATCCGCCTTTGTTACTCCGTGCTCGGCACCTGGCACAGTTGGGACCTCAGGGAGCCTCAGGGCGTCTCTGCAACCCAGTGGGATGAAGGCTTGTTCTGCAGGCCTTCCTGGAGGGTGTAGAAAGAAGAGGAGGTATGTGAGGGGGAAGAGCAGTAAGGGGAAGGTCTGTGGCTTGGGAGGGGCAGTGAGGCCGGGCCGGGGCAGCTTTGGCCTGGGAAGAGCTGGTTACCAACCTGGGGAGAGTCTTTCCCTCTCTGGGGGAAACGGAGCAGGTAGTTATGAGCCCTGCCTGTATATAATGTATGCGGAGCAAGCACACGTGCATTGTGTCGTCTGGTCTTCAGCAGGAAAGGGGGTAGTAGGGCCATTTCACATGCAAGGAAGCAGAAGCTCAGCACATCAGGTAACTTCCAAAGAGCCGAGTTAAACCCTGCTCTGCCTACTTGAAAGTCCTGGTTTTCTGGTCTGTTAAAAATGTACCAGCTGACTTAGCAAGTGAGTGAAGCTTTCTAAACACGGCCCCTCGCTCTTGGGCAGCGGCTGGCCTTGTTGCGTGGGATTTGCAAACCCACACGAACTTCACACATTTCCAGTGTCCAGTGATGGAGGGACCTGCAGACACTCCCTTTTCTGTTTCTCCTTTTTGTGAGCTGAGCCGGTTTACCAGCATACCCCTGCCTGGAGGCTGTGGCGACTGAGCCACATGCCTGGCTATTGAAAACTGTTGTGATGAGTGAAATAGAAAATCACTTAATAAATCACCTTATTTTGGTGAACACATAACCAAAAATACAGCTGTTGTGAGGGGCTCGTGAATTTTTTTCTCCAGTTTCTGAGGGTCTGTGCTTTCACAACGGATTCTTTGTTTTTTAAAAATCTGGGATGGGGTTGCCTGGCTGGCCCAGTTGGAGGAGCGTGCGACTCTTGGTCTTGGGGTCATGAGTTTGAGCCCCACGCTGGGGGTAGGGATTACTTAAATTTTAAAAATTAAATAAATTAAAAAATTTTTAAATAAATTTAAAAAAATTAAAAAGATTGTGTGTCTGTGTGTATATATATATATGTTTCTGTAGCCTTTATTTTCCCATATCTGTACCTCTCTAAAACTTGTTGATGCTGATGCTCGTGGAGGTAAGCAGTGACTCGGAGGCCGAGACCGTAGATTCTGGGTTCACATCAGCTTGTGTGTCTTCCTACCTGAGCAGGTTACTTAACCTCTGTGCTTAGTTTTCTAACCTGTGGTTCAGGTCGTTGGGAATATTTAGTGATTCCATGTAAAGTACTTAGAACAGTGATTTGCACGGGGGCTTGACTGAGTACAAGCAAGGTCCTGGCCTCAGTGTGGGAGCTAAAGCGTAGGGCTCTAGGGCAGCCCTGCTGTGAGCCCTGCAGGCAGGGGCAGGGATGGGGCTGGCCGGGCACACCTCTCACCCAGCCCCTCTGCTCTGTGTGTTCTCTCTGCAGAGTGCCGCCCCCCCGGCAGATCACCGCCCCCCACCCCCCGCAGGCCTCACTTGCCGCGAGCGGTGAGCTGACTGGGATGGTACCCCGGGAAGGCCCTGAGTCTGCGCGGTGCCCGTGCCCTTCCCTGGCTAGCCTGCATGCCAAGGATATGCTCCGGAGGAAGCACAAGAGGAGGAGCCGACAGCACCAGCGATTCATGGCCCGGAAGGCGCTGCTGCAGGAGCAGGGCCTGCTGAGCATGTCCCCAGAGCCGCGATCCTCCCCACTGCCCATGCCGTCGGTGGCCCTGCAGGGCACTGAAGCCGCCAGCAGCGGGATGCAGCGTCCAAGGAATGAATCGGGAGGTGCCTCGTGGAGCAGAAAGCCCACCCCCAGGGAGTCCGCGGGGCCCTGGCCCAGCAAGTGCGTGGCTATCGACTGCGAGATGGTGGGCACGGGACCCCGAGGGCGGGTGAGCGAGCTGGCCCGCTGCTCTGTGGTGAGTTACCATGGCGACGTCCTCTATGACAAGTACATCCGGCCCGAGATGCCCATCGTGGATTACCGCACCCGCTGGAGTGGCGTCACTCGGCAGCACATGCGTAAGGCCATCCCCTTCCAGGTGGCCCAGAAAGAGGTGAGGGCGGAGGTGGGGGCTTGTGTGGGTGGGTGATGGCCACGGAAGGGCAGCCCTGGGTTTGAGTCACCACTTAGCCACTGGAAACGAGAGACTTTGGGGAAGTTGCTTAAATTTGCTGAACTGTGGCTTCCTTCTCCATAGACAAGGGTGCCTAAAATCCTGACCCATCTCCATGTAAGGATTGTTGGGCTGTCCCATGTGATAATGTTTGTGGACAGACTGTGCCAATTGTAAGGTGTAGAACCGCTCACATGTTACATTTTCTTTTCTTTCTTTTATTTTGAGGGAGAACGAGTGAGAGAGCACAGGCAGGGGGAGCGGCAGAGCAGGGAGCCCAATGAGGGGCTCGATCCCAGGACTCGGGGATCATGACATGAGCCGAAGGCAGACGCTTAACCAACTGAGCCACCCAAGCACCCCTGCATTTTCTTTTCTGTTTTAAAAGTACTATGTATCTGTTTAGAATTTGTAAGGCCCACAATCCTGTCACCTTCAGGCCTTAATGTTTCCATATATTTTCTTAGTTTTTCAGTGTTTTGAAAAAGATAAATTAGTGGTTGGGACTGCACTAATGTGCCAGGAATTCCCAGTTGTGCTTGACCGTAGGAAGCCCCTAAAGCCTTGTTAACAATCTCAGCTCTTTGTCCCCAGATCCTTCCATGGAAATTCTCATCTCATAGCCCTGTGGGCATGGGGACAGCTCTGATGTGTGTGTTCCTGAAAATCATGCTGTGCCAACTTGCACAACGAAAACCTCAGAGCTTATGGGGAACATGGAATTAAGAATACAACACTCAACATGCCTCCTAATAAAATCACCCCCAGGACAAAAAGCTAGAAACCTAATGACAGTGGTAGCCCCCATTTTGCACAGGCTAGATGGTTAAGACATGCGTCAGTAGTAAAGGGGGCACTTTACCTGAAAACATCCTGGTGGCTGCTTGTGAAAGTGGGTGTCAGGAAGGTTGCGGTTTCTGTGCTGGTGGCGAGGGCCCAGGGGTTCCTGGAAATGAGCCTGGTGGCATCAGGTTCAGGTGGTGGTGGCTCATCACACCCATGAACCATGAGCCCCCTGCGGGCTGTCGGAGGCGTGTGCGTTTTCTGCCTTCCCACGTGCCTCAGGTTAGCTGCGTGCAGTTTTCTTTATTCTTTCTTGCCTTTTTTTTTTTTTTTTAAGATTTTATTTATTTGAGAGGTAGAGAGGGAGGGAGAAAGCACAAGCAGGGGGAGCAGCAGACCCCGCTGAGCAGGGAGCCCGACGTGGGGTTTGATCCCAGGACGCTGGGATCATGACCTGAGCCGAAGGCAGACGCTTAACCGACTGAGCCACCCAGGTGCCCCCGGGTGCAGTTTTCTTCGTTCACTTAAATGTTTCTCACGGGCAAAATCATGCATAGGTAAAGGTGAAATTTTGCATTATTCTCAAAGAGTGTCCTAATATAGCAATCATGTTGGAACATGCATTTTCAAAATAAGCATTATAGCAGAACTGCTTAGTGTTTCTGGGTTATTCTTGGGTTTAGGTGAATTTGGGAAATACTGGTACATGTGGTCTGGCGTCCTCCTTTCTCACATGAGATATGGCCTAAGCATGGCCTTCAGAAAGTTTGGAGATGATTTACCGAGCGTGTCGCTCGGGCATATTAGCAACAGGAAGGGAGGCCTGCGGCAAACCCTCTAGCTCCTTGGTGCTTCCTGGCCTGGTTGGTGGGGCTCGAGGAACAGGACCGTTTCTTGTCTGCTCAGACTCAGCCCGTGCGGAGTGTGCTTTGTCCCTTCCCACCGCATGCTGGTGGGGCGGTGTGACTGGAGTGTGGTGGCATGTTCCCACCACGGAAGTCTAAATGGCACCCTCTCCATCTGCTGTGAAAGCTGGGTTTAGTGATAAGCCGGACCTGGCCAGCAGAAGTGCGTGGCGGGTGATAAGGAGAGCCGGGCTCAGTGCCGAGGGCTGGGGGGCATTGCAGGCCTGGGGCCCGAGGAGGGCGGAAGACAGGGAAGAGAGGCGCACATTGTGCACATGGCGAGCACTGAGCCAGAGAGCAACGGTTTCCAGGGTGGGAAGTGGAGTCCTGCACGGCCGAGGGGCAGAGGGGCAGAATCCCGAGGAGGGAGGCCGTGTCTGCTGATGCTCACAAAAGTTGCTGCTCGTGGGTTTATCTCCAGGGCCAGGCCCAGGTCTGTGGACGTCAGCCAGCGGGTCTCTCAGTCAGCTCCTGTGTGCTGAGCTTCCACGGAACATCACTCGTCAAGTCAAACACGGTCCCTGGTGTATCAGCTGAGCTGCCATGGAGGGCCGGTGGATAGACTGCCAGCGCTAAAGGCGTACTTAGCAAATGTGGCCAGTCCGCTCCACCACGGGAGAGAACCACAGGGTCCTCACGTTGCCGGGGCAGCGGTGGGGGAGGCCTCCTGACGTGCAAGAGTTGGGTGGGGAGGGGGAGGGTGGTGAGGTCTTCCAGGCTGAGAGGGGCTTCCTCGCACGCGCCCAACCACCATGGAGAGCGCACTTTTACTGCTTAGAGGGCTGACGTGTGCCCCAGGGCGTGGCAAGTCGAAGGGCCGGGCTTTGGACTTGAGGCAGCGTGGCTGAGTGTGGGGCTCGAGGCTCCCCTCTCCATGCTGCCTCCCTTCGCAGGGATCCACGCCCCGGTGGTCAGGGCGGCAGCATGTGGCCTGCGCCTCCTTGACAGTGGGGCCTTCCCCCCCCCCCTTTGTCTGCTCACAGATCCTCAAGCTCCTGAAGGGCAAGGTGGTGGTGGGGCACGCGCTCCACAATGACTTCCATGCCCTCAAGTACGTCCACCCTCGGAGCCAGACCCGGGACACCACTTACGTGCCCAGCCTCCTCCACCAGCCTGGCCTCCACACCCGCACCCGGGTCTCGCTGAAGGACCTGGCCCTGCAGCTGCTACACAAGAAGATCCAGGTGCGTGGGACAGGAGCAGGTGGTGCGAGTGACGAGGGGCCCCGGGACAGGGCAGGCGGCTGTGCCTCCAGCTGCTTGTCATTCTTACCCCCCACCCCTCCCTGGGTAAAGCACGGTGTCCCGCACATACGGGCAGCCCTGGGTGTTCTCTTCACCGTCCTTCGTCCCCAGCAGATTGTGACAGCTGGCCACAGGCTTGTGGGCCGGGCTCTTCCAGACCTGTCCCCCACTCAGTTCCGGGCTCTGTCCCTGCACATCTCGCAGAACCCACCTGTGGCAGCCCGAGAGGTGGGGCCTCCCTCAGGGGCAGCCAGTAACTCTTGCTTTCCCGAGTAGCACCCAGGCCCCCACCCCATCCCACCCCCGTCCCAAGAGGACGCGGTCGGTGATGAGGGCTGTCGTCGCAGGTCGGCCAGCACGGGCACTCGTCGGTGGAAGACGCCATGACGGCCATGGAGCTCTACCGGCTGGTGGAGGTGCAGTGGGAGCAGCGGGAGGCCGTCAGCCTCCCGCCCCGCCCCGAGGACCAGGAGCCGGACGGCAGCACGGACATGGAGGAGTACATGGAGGACCAGTACTGGCCCGAGGACCTGGCCCAGGGCGCCCGCGGGGGGACGGGGGAGGCAGGGGATAGAAGGGAGTGAGGCGGGAGAGGCCCCCAGGCGGCCTCCGAGCGGAGGAGTGGGGTGTGGGGGGGCCGGCAGAGCCCTGGGCACGGCACCCCGGGCAGGGCAGGATGCGGCCAGCCAGCTGCTGGCGTCCAGGGAGTTGGGGCCATCTGTCCTCTTGGCTCCCTCCACCCAGGGCTGTTGTGGGCACTTACCCCCGCCCCAGCCCTGTGGTTTACTAATGGCACTTTACAGACCCTATGAAAATGTCAGGGGGGCAAGCTTGGAGGACGCAGCGGGAGGAGGGCGTGTGCCGTGTGCCGGCAGGCCTCCCCCAGCCCCGTGCTGTGCTGTCCGGGCAGGTGATGTCTCCTCCCTGTGGTGTTCGCTCAGCCCCGTGACTTGGGGTAAAGCTCTCCGCTCTTACTTTCCTCTGCCTCCTCCACAGGCGTTGTCAGGTTCAGAATGAACATGTCCCTGAACCTGTAGAGTTGAGGCTACTCTGCGGGACATTCCCTTCCTTTCTGTCTGAACTAGAACTCTGGGTGTTGCCATAGTAGGAACCCAGCTAGGCTGTGACGGACAGCAGAGCGCCCAGGCTCGTGGGGAGGTGGCACCAGGACTCACCAGGCACTGTTCTGAGGGGGGGAGGGCGGATGAGCTTTGGGTGGAGAGGGTGGTGTATTAATTTTGACCCAACTCAGGCACAAGCCTGAGAAACAAGACAGCAGTTTGAGTTCTGGGACCCCTCTGCAAGGCCACCATGTCCGTGGGGCGAGGGCCAGGCCGGGGCAGCCTTGTCCACACTCGGGCTGGTGTCCCCTCGGGCACTTTGACCCACAGTTGCTGTGGTCATTGGGTTTTCTCCAACTTTCTGGATAGGTTCTCTGTCAGGATCTCATCTGCCACCCCTCTTTCCTTCTTTCCCAAGGGGCAGTTTGGGAGTATTGAGGTTAACCAAGAGCTCAGGTCCACACCGACCTTTGAGCCCCATCTTTGCTTGCCACTTAAAAGCTTTGAGACCTCGAGCAAGGTCTCACTCTTGAGCCCGTTTCCTCCTCTGTAAAATGGGGATGATGCTACAGCCTACCTCATAGGGTTGTCCTGGGGGTCAAGTGCTGAGTGCTCAGCACTGTGCCTGGCACGCTGTGTTTTCTTCAAGGATCCGTTTCAGCCTCCTCTGGGTAATATCTGAACCAGGCCCTGGGGTTGAGTGACTGTGACAAGGCTGTCCTCACTTGGCTGCTCCAGTGGGGGCAGGCTGACGACACAGCATGGAGGTGCCCGGTCCTCACTGCGCCCTGCGGCTGGGCGACCTTTGTACACTCAGCGTCTCCCTCTGTGTGCAGGAAATGACAAGGGTTCTTATGTCAGTCTGACCCCAGCAGCAGGGCCAGGAACCGAGAGACACTACTGAAACCACACTACTTCCAAGTTGTTTGTGCCCAGCTCCCTCCCCGTCTGCAGGGCAGGGAGCCGCCTGATGGCCTGGCTCCACACTTTGTTCTGGAGTCCTTCAAAGTGTGTAGTTGGTGCCAAACTCCCAGCCCAGCCCAGCCCAGCCCAGCCCAGCCCAGCCATAGTTTCGATTCTTTGGGCTACGGGTTGAAGGAAGATGGAGCTGCTACCAGTGGGAAAATGTACTGGGTTTAAAATCAGCTTTTTTGTAAAACCATTTGTTCTGGAATAAAACTCAATTAGAAAAGTGGGTGAAGGGGCGTTTTCTGAATTCTCAGGCTGGAGTGGGCTGGCTTGGTGGAGGGATTGTGGGGTGCTGGGGCACTGAGTCTTGCTGGGTGCTTTGGCCTTGGAGGTGGGAGCTTTCAAGATGATGCTCTGGGATGTGACAAGAACATTCTAGAGCTACAGAATTTATGTCGTTTATTTTTTAAAATTTTATAACTGCCTTATTGTAGAACACAGAGTTTGTTTCTCCTGAAGCTATGTACTCACTTTTCAAGAAAATGTTTAGTTCTAATTGTGATAAAATACACATATCATGCAAGTTACCATCTTAACCATTTCTGAGTGGTGTTAAGTATATTTACATTGTCGTACCGCCAAATTCCCGAGCTTTTTCATCCTGCGAAACTAAAACTGCTCATTAAACACTAACAGTCCACCCTCTCCTCCCTCCAGCCCCTGGCCACCACCATTCTACTTTCTGTTTCTCTGAATTTGACTAGATACCCCATATAAGTAGAATCATACAGTATGTGTCTTTGTGATTAGCTTATTTCACTTAGCCTACGGCCCGCAAAGATCATTCATGTTTGGTATGTGTCAGAATTTCCTTCCTTTTTAAGGCTAAATAATCATTTGGCTGCATAGACCACAATTTGTTGATCTCAGTGAACACTTGGGTTACTTCGCCTGCTTGGTTGTGAATAATGTTGCTGTGAATGTGGGTGTACAGTATCTTTGGAATTCTGCTTTCGGTTCCCATGGGTGTAGACCCAGAAGTGAGATTGCTGGGTCATATATGGTGGTTCTGTGTTGTAAGCTTTGGAGGAACTGCCATACCGTCTTCCACAGGGGCTGTACTAGTTACTAGTTGGCCTTCCCACCAGCAGCCCATAAGCTTTCCAGTGTCTCCACATCCTCACCCACACTTACTTGTTTTGTTTTGTTTTGTTTGGTAGGGTATCCTAGTGGGTGTGGGGTGATACCTCATTCTGGTTTTAATTTGCATTTCCCTAACGAGTAGAGATTTTGAACTTCTTTTTGCATGTTTATTGATATATACTTCATTTTTCACTTTTTGTGTCTTTTAAAAAATGTATCCCATTAGCAATTTTGCATGACCCACAGGAAATCACTGACATTTGACTGAGACGCTTCTGCCTGCCATCCAGGATTGAGAAATTCACACATGCACATTTTGGAGCATAGGCCCAGCCGAGACAGATGGCTGGGCAGGAATTCAAAGGTCAGGGTGCCTGTAGGGAGTGGTGTCTGATCCACTGTTAGGAATCATCCACCCAGCCTGTGCCCTGTGCCTGGGGCCATACACTGGCAGCCTCTGTACCTTGTACAGTCACAGGCGGGCCAACTGAGGCAGGACGTGGGTCTCGTAAGGCTGAGAGGTTTGCCCTGAGTGACTCACCTGACCTGGGATTTGCCGGCGTGGTCTGGCCGAAGGGTGACACCAGTTAAACTGGGGAAGCATCCCCTCTAGGAGGAGCCCCTCCCCCACCTGCCCCTCCCCCTGGCTGGGGTCAGGGCTTCCTCCCCTGGGCTTTCACCCTGCCTGTGTCTAACCTCAGTGCACAATACCTGGGAAAACATTCAGTAGGTCCCAGGCAGGGCTCCAGGTGCTGGGGGCCTTGCAGCAAACCAAACAAATGGGAGCCGGAAAAGTAAATGAACAAGATACACGGTTATTTCCGATGGCGCTAATTATTCCTACAGAAGAAATCCAGAAGGGAGAAGAGGTGCAGTTTTTTTTGTTTTGTTTTGTTTTAAATTTTATATTATTATGTTAATCACCATACATTACATCATTCGTTTTTGATGTAGTGTTCCATGATTCATTGTTTGTGTATAACACCCAGTGCTCCATTCAGTACGTGCCCTCTTTATTTTTTTTAAAAGATTTTATTTATTTGAGAGAGCATGAGCAAGAGAGCACAAGCAAGGGGAGCAGCAAAGGGAGAGGGAGAAGCAGACTCTCCGCTGAGCAGGGAGCCTGACATGGGGCTCGATCCCAGGACCCTGGGATCATGACTTGAGCTGAAGGCAGACGCTCAATGACTGAGCCACCCAGTGCTCCATTCAATACGTGCCCTCTTTAATACCCATCCCCAGGCTAACCTATCCCCCCACCACCTCCCCTCTAGAACCCTCAGTTTGTTTCTCAGAGTCCATAGTCTCTTATGTTTCCTCTCCCTCTCCAATTCCCCCCCTTCATTTTTCCCTTCCTACTATCTTCTTCCTCTTTTTTTTTTTTTTAAACATATAATGTATTTGTTTCAGGGGTACAGCTCTGTGATTTGTCAGTCTTGCACAATTCACAGCTCTCACCATAGCACATACCCTCCCCAGTGTATCACCCAGCCACCCCATCCCTCCCACCCCCACCACTCCAACAACCCTCAGTTTGTTTCCTGAGATTAAGAATGAGGAGGTACAGTTTTAAATAGAGGCCAGAAAAGGCCTCAGTGGGAGGCCTGGAGGAGAGGGAGCAAACTGGGTAGATAACCTGGAGGCAGAGCTTTTGAGATAGGGTAGCACATGCCCAGGCCCTCTGAAACAGACAAAGCCAGTGCGGTGGAAGGAGGTGAGAAGGGGTGGTGAAGGCGGGCTGGTGAAGGCTTGGAGAGGGGCTGACCTTTGCAGCATGAGTGGAGACCTGATCCTGCCCTCCTGGCCCTAGGACCCAGAATGGGAGGATGGGGGGGTGGGGGGAGGTTTGCCTGGGCGGAGGCATGTGAATACACAAAGACCTCGGGTTTAGGTGTAAACGGTGATGCAAGATGAGATTGGAAAGGCTGGTGGGGCAGGTGACAGGGTCTTGGAAACTGCCCAGGAGTTGAGGTTTGCTTTCTCTTTTGGACAACAGGAAACCACTGTAGGTTCTTGAGCAAAGTGCCATCCCAAACAGTGCAAGAGATTAGATGTGGGGCAAGGAAAATCTGTTCGGATTTGAAGGACAGTGTGGAGCAGGGCATGAAGGTGGTGGCAGGAAGACCCGGGAGCTGATGGGCAGGTGGGGACGGGGCAAAGGGGAAATGCGGGCCAAAGAACAGGAGGGGTGGGCATATGTTCTGTCTGAGACCTGAGGAGACCAGCAGGGTGAAGGGATGAGATGCGTGAGGTCCAAGGGGGGTTGTAGAAGCAGAAACCTCACCCACCATTGGATCTTCAGGGGGTTACTTTTTCAATGCACATTCACATCAAGTAACACATTTTGCTTCATCTCCCTAAATCAGGGTCACAATCCTTTATGCATTTGAGAAACAAAAAGTCCCCAAACAGTCTGAATTCAAGCAAAAGTTGCTCATTCAGGATGGGAACCCAAAATAATCTCATATCTCAAATTCGAACCAATTGAACAACAAACATGAGCAATGCCTTAACATTTAGACATATTTCAGGACTTGATTTTATTTTTGAGGTCTCTTCCCATCAGATGTCACTTGGTGAAAACACCAGGGACCTGGGGGAATTCCTTTCCAAGCCACAAATCTTAGTGACATCTGGGGGCAATCAGATCCCATCGCTCAAAGCTTACTCCTTGTGGACTTGGGGCCAGAGGCAAGAATCTTACTGCAGTCGGTGGTGATGCCTTCCTCATTGAAAGCTGGTTCTGTTTTTGTCCCAGCTGTAACTCATTCCTCTATTCAGTAAGTACTGAGTGCCCTATGTGTCAGGCACCGTCGTAAGAGGTCAGAGTTCTAGCCTGGGAGGGGGTGGTGTAGTCCCTGGGAAGTGTGGCCAGGCTGGTGGGGGCTCCTTCCGGGCTTTCTTGTTCTTGTCCTCCAACAGTATCAGCCCAGCTGGAGGCAGAAGCCATTGAGGGCAGACAGATGGTGGATTCTGTGACACCCCGAAGCCCTGGAGACTCTAGGGGCTCTCTCCCGGCCTCCTCGCCTTCCCTGGGTGGGGGTGGGCTAGCCCCACTCACACCCAGCCTTCTCATGCCCTCCCTATTAATAGCCGCTATGTCCCAAGAGCCAGCCCCCCCCCCGGCCCCCATAAGAGACGTCCCTGAGTGTGTCAGGTTGGTAGTGGCCCCGGAAGTTGTGGGACATTCTGTGGTCTCCGATCCTGGGGATGTTTATTCTCCGGGCAGGCGGAGGGTGAGAAAGGGAAGGAAGGTGTGGCAATCTGCTCAATTCTCATCAGCCACATCATCTGAGAAGGGGAGGGCCCCGAGACCTTGGTGGGGGGGGGCGTGCAGGGGCGAAGGTGAGCTGCCAGCACAGGGAGCCTGCGGGCAGCAAGAGGAGCCGGAACGGCCCAGCCCCTGTACCCAGCCTCCCGCCCGTGACTTCGCCTGATAACAAACCAGAAACTGAAACAGGGTCGGGATTCCCGGCGTGAAGTCAGAGATGAGTCACAGCTCAGAGTGACTGCACTAGCGGAGAAGTGGTACCAGACAGGCAGACGTGAGCCAAGGGCAGCGGAGGCAGGCAGGTGAGTGGGAGCTGGGGCAGTGCAGGGGGTGAGCAGGGAGGGGGCATGGGGGGGCGGCCCTGCCCGTCTCGAGGCCCCGGGACTGCTGGGCTCGGGAAGCCGGGCGGGGTGGCAAGAGGCCAGCTTTGCCTGTTGCTGGGTGGTGTTCGTGACAAACGGGGCAGAGGGCACAGGCTGGTGGGGTGGTGGCCAAGGACACTTGGGGCCGCGGTTGGCCCTTGGGTGATGCCCCCCCCACCGCCTCCCCTCTCCAGCGCATCTGAGGGTCCCGCTGAAGCATGGCAAGCAACTTTGAGGTGGTGGCCATGGACTGTGAGATGGTGGGGCTGGGGCCCGGCCGGCAGAGCGGCTTGGCTCGCTGCAGCCTCGTGGACTTCCATGGCACCGTGCTCTACGACAAGTTCATCCGGCCCGAGGGGGAGATCACTGATTACAGGACCCCGGTCAGCGGGATCACGCCTCGGCACATGGAGGTGGCCACGCCGTTCGCCGTGGCCCGGCAGGAGGTGAGTGGAGGGCTGTCCGCCAGTCAGACCAGGGCGGCGGGGAGGCCACGGCCCGCCCCCCACCCCGCCACACATCCACGTGCACACTTCCCTGGCACCTTCCCCAGATGCCAGATCTGTGACCCCAGATGTGGCAGATTCCCCCCACCTCTACATGAGAGTGCACTAGGGCATCCCTGCGAAGGCCTCCTGCCCTCAGACAACCTTAAACTCACACCTGGGGAAATTTCAGGGCATCTGGTCCACCCTGCTGGCCTTGTGATGGGGGAACTGGGTTCCACCTGATGTTCCCCACGGTGGGATTCTTTTCTCTACCCTGGCTGCCCCTGGTCAGCCCCACGAGGAAATGAGGAAACAGGGCTCTC